ATTGCTGGAATTATAGGGGTGAGTCACCGCACCTGGCCTTGAATGGGCATTCTAAGTGTTTGGCATGACAACTGGGAGAAGGTAGGACTCAGTCCCAAGGGAGAAAAGACCCGAGGCTGTTGTGGCTGAGTGTGTAGGAGAAACCAAGGCATGTCACATGGAGAATAAGAATGCAGGCTGGGAGCCAGACAGGCCTGGGTTTGAATCCCAGCCCCGCCAAGTACCAGCTCTGTGATCTTGGACAATTTACTTAATTATCTAAGCTTTGGTTCCCTTGTCATTCAAATCTGGCTAATAATGGTACTACATTATAAGGTTGTTAGAAGGATTAAATGAGATAAGGCTTGTAAAACATTGAGATCTACGCTGGCACGTGGCATGGGGTGATCACTTAATAAGCAAGCTAACAACAGCAGAGGGTGGCAAGGCAGGCTGCCTGCACAGCACCTCGGGGCTCTGTACTTCCCTGTCCAGAGCAGGCACACAGGCTGCCCCTCCCTCAGCGTCCCGCCTGCTAAATCAGCAGAGAATTGAGAGATTCACGGTCAGAAGCCTCATATTCTTTCTCTGTCTCCTTCCAGCTACAGGGAACCCCAACACCAAAGTTACCCTGAGCCAGCAGAGTCAATGCCCCAGATGCCAAACCACTTATGTGCTTATCTGCCCATGGACTCTGAAGATCCCCGAGGCCTTGGAAAAGTGCAGAGAGCTAGCTGGGCATGGTGGTTCATGCCTGTAATCCCAGTACTTTGGGAGGCGGAAGCAAGAGGACTGCCTGAGCCCACAGGTTCGAGACTAGCCTAGGCAAGTTGGCAAGACTTCATCTCTACAATAAATAAAAACATTAGCCAGGCGTGGTGGCATGCGCCTGTAGTTCCAGTAACTGGGAAGGCTGAGGCAGAAGGATCACCTGAGCCCAGCAGGTTGAGGCTGAGCTGGCTGTGAGCATGCCACTGCACGGTAGCCTGGGTAACACAGTGGGATTTCAACTCAAAAAAAAAAAAAAAATAGAGCTGTCAAAGGCTCATGTTCCTGTGCTCTCTGGGGAAACTCCCCTGGGGTCAATGCCAGACAGAAGTGTCCTCATCCTTCTGCCCCATATAAGTCCCCTGGGGGTGAAGAGCTGGACCCTGCTTCCACCAACTCACCGGCACTGGGTCTTTTGGACCCGCCCTGCCCTGTTCTGCCTGGCCTGTTGGTAGAAGGAGGAGGAGACACCTTGAAGTGGGGCAGCACCTTGCTTCTTGGGATGTCCCAGAGAGCCCTGAGCACATAGCTGGAGCCCAGTGTTTGTTTAATCACAGGGGAGCCCAAGTAATTCCTACAGGTTGAGTCAGGACTCTGAGATGAGAACCAAATTCCCATGAGAGAGCCCTGAAGAGGCCCTTAGTTCTGCCCTATGAGGCGTTTTCAGCGAAGTCTTTCTTTTTTCTTTTTTGAGTTGGAGTCTCACTCTGTCGTCCAGGCTGGAGGGCAGTGGCACGCTCCCGGCCACTACAGTCTCAACCTGTTGGGCTCCGGCGATCCTTCCGCGTCAGCCTTCCAAGTAGTTGGAACTACGGGCGGGCGCTACCACGCCTGGCTAATTTTTTGATTTATTGTAGAGATGAGGTCTCGCCAAGTTGCCCAGGCGGGTCTCAAACCCACGGGTTCATGCAATCCACTCACCTCAGCCTCACAAAGGTGCGGGATTACAGGCTGAGCCACTGAGCTCAGGGAAGTCTTTCATCTCATCCTATAACAATAATGATTATATCTGGCCGGGCACAGTGATTCACACCTATAATCCCTGCACTTTGGGAGGCTGAGATGAGAGATTGCCAGAGCTCACTGGTTCAAGACAAGCCTGAGCAGCTTGGTGAAACCTCATCTCTACAATAAATCAAGAAAAATGAGCCAAGCATGGTGGCACATGCCTGTAGTTCCAGCTACTTGGAAGGCTGAGGTGGAAGGATCTCCTGAGCCCAGCAGGTCAAGGCTGCGGTGGCCGTGAGCATGCCACTGCACTTCAGCCTGGGCAACAGACTGAGACTCCAACTCAAAAGTAATAAATAATAATAATAATAATAATTATTATTATTATTATAGGCTGGGCTTGGTGGCTCAGCCTGTAATTCCAGCACTTTGGGAAGCTGAGGCGAGTGGATTGCCTGAGCCCGCGGGTTCAAGACCAGTCCGGGCAACTCGGTGAAACCTCGTCTCTACAATAAATAAATTTAAAAATTACCTCGAAGCCGGGCTCAGTGGCTCAGCCTGTAATCCCATGCCTTTGGGAGGCTGAGGTGAGTGGATTGCCTGAGCCCACGGGTT